AGTTGCTTCATTAGATGAACCCGACTATGGCAATGTAACGTTTCTCGTTCGTGTTACCAAATGCCAGCTTGTTAGACCCATGACTCTTCGCTACCTTCTAGGGCCCACTTCTCATTAAATGGGATGGTATTTGTTTCTTCATAAGGCAATTCACTTCCCTTGTCTTGTAACAATTCATTGATTTCAACGTAACAAAGTAATCTTTCCCACACTCTTATAAATAATAAATGCATAAATAGTACTTCCTCCGTCCCATTTTATGTGTCTAGTTCGGTTAACGAGGCTTGACTGTAGTTATTTTTAATTTAATTTTTCATAATATTAAGTTTAGTATTAGTATACAAAATTTATATATTTAGAAACTACACTAAAAGAACTATTAAACACAAAAAATCAAATTTAAAAAAATAAGTAAAAAATACTAAAGAAAATAAACAAAGAAAAAATAGTTGATTTGACCAATGGGACAGAAGGAGTAACTATCTCAATATCTACCCCATAGGGCCTATATAAACCTTTCATTACATCTTTATATTCATACTAGTATTGTCTCGTGCGATGCACGGACTAAATATTAAAGATTTGTTTGTAATGTTAGAATAGGTAAACAATGTTTTTAATAATGGTATTTAAAGTACAGAAGAAGAAAACATGAACCACAATTTAATTGTTTAAAATTACATTTTTATTAAGTATATGACAAAATAATTATGATACTGTATTACAATATTTAATTTAATAATTGAAAATAGTATGATACAAAAAGTTACTATTATTAATCGCAGTTAGCGATATACATATTTAATCTTGAGTGTGTCTACTCCTAGTATGCTACTCATGCGATGGACGGAATGAATATTGGACAATATTATAATAATATTATTTATTAAAAAATACATAACCTAATATCTACATAGTTGCAATTCATATTCATATATATATATATATATATATATATATATATATATATATATATATATATATACACACACACACACACACCATATGGTTTTGTGAAAAACTAATGTTGTTAATACCAACAACATTTAACCATTAATATCAACATTTAATTTTCACAAGATCATATAGCTTTATTATAAAAAAAATAAAATTAATAATATTAATAACATAAATTAATAAGTAAATAAATAAATAAATAAATAAATATATATATATATATATATATATATACACACACACACACACACACACAAACAGACACACACACACACCATATGATTTTGTGAAAATTAAATGTTGTTAATACCAATATTTAACCATTAATATCAATATTTAATTTTCACAAGACCATATAGCTTTATTATAATTAAGATGAATCCCAATGTATATTTTTCTTTCCTTTATTTTTCTCACCGTTATAGGAAAAGTTCCAAGTCACTATGTTTTAGCCTTCGCCCTTAAGTTCTGAACTATATTTCTCAAGCTCTAGACAACTACAGTATCTCTCATGATCTTACTAATTTGTTTCGCCTTTTTTAATCGAAAACCAACACCCAAAGAGTACTACAAGAGAACTAGGAAATGATAACAAACATTGTATAGGAATTAAGACATCTCTGTCAACATGGACTTGATTCCTCACCCTCTGTGCAACTAGAGCAATTAATTTTTTAGCATATGTCTTCTCTCTCTCTCTAGTACACACTTCTTAGACGAGGAGGGGAAAATGATAGTCTACACTCCTTGCCCATGCTAACTACAATTTTGCTCTTTCCAAAGAAGATTGAAGGTATCCACCTTAACTTTGGCTCTTGTCAAGCGTCTTCCTTACCCATGCATGTCTTCAATCTCCAAAAGGTAAGTGCTTGTTATTGTTGTAATTCCATTCATCCTTGACCACTCTTCATTAGATTCTCTCTTTTTACTCCTTAATTGATTGGTGTTTGGGACATGATAGGGAACCAAAAACATCCATCCAAATTTCATCTCATGTTATTTCTCTATACTCGTCAAACAAAGTGTTTGGCTAGTTTCTCCAATATCCATGACCCAAATTCTTCTCACTCAACAAGTTTACTTGCCATGTAGCGAGTAGAGCGGCTATGATCTTTTGTAGGATAAGGTAGAGGTAGTAGTATGTATATATTGTTTAGGGCTTGTTGTGTATTTACCATGTACGTAGTAGTCATTATCACAATTTTTGTTTTTAAATAGCACTTGCATTCTTTTGTTGCTTGTTTCTTTGTTATATTGTAGATTTTGCTATTCCTTTTGCGACTACCACCACACCAAACAATAATTAGTAGACTATACTTGGGGTCGTCTTTTAAAAAAAAATATATATATATTTTGGTTTGTATATGTGTCCCTCAAGTGTTTCTATAATTATAATTGCTTAGATAAACTGGGCACTAAGGCTTATTCAGGCATTTGGGTCTCTTTTTCTTGGGTGCTAAGGCTTCTTTTACTTGTGTGCAAGGCAGCCCTCTAGCTAACATGGGCTTAAATATTAGCCTTTTGAAGCATGATGATAACTATTCGGCTAACTCGACCTTAGGCGATTGGTTTGTGATTATCATATAAGGTAATCCATTGGCTATGTTGGCCTTCGTGAAGTGCAAGAATAGCTATTCAGATAGCTTAGCCTTAGGCGCCAGTCAATGCCTATTGCATAAGGTAGCCTTCCAACTAGCTTGGTCTTAGACGTTAGTCCTTATGAAGTGCGAGGATAGCTATTTGGATAGATTGGCCTTAGGGGCCAATGTGTGATATTCACACAAGGTAGTCCTCCGGCTAGCTTAGCCTCATACGTTAGCCTTAGTGAAGTGTGATGATAGTCATTCACCTAGTTTTACCTTAAGCACCAATCTATGAATATGGTATGCGACATGTTGATGAGTTGAACATTTGACAAAAGAGAAAGTTTACATTGATTCTACAATCATTACACTACATTTTCCTCATACAACCTATTGATAGAGCTGTCTAAGGTGTTCTAATAAGTTCTATACATGTATGACTTTGTGAGGATTAGTGTGGTAGAGTTTGTATATTCTTAGACTTTCTTGACTTGGTATGAGGTTCCTAATTATAAGACTTTAATTTCTTGGCTTGGTATCTGCCTTTTCAATTTTGGTATATACCAGGAAATCATAATACTTCTTGATAGCTCTTTGATAGGTTTTGATCTGCATGGTTGCAACATCCTTCTTTTCTTGAAGCAAGTTTAGTTATATCCGTTGATTTTTATCCTTCTCTTTAATTTGAGGTCGTATTTCTCAACCTTCGAGGTAGGTATCAACACTTTGGTTAGGACCTTTAAGGATGTCAACGGGGCGGGGTGGGGGCGGGGGACATACGCCCATCCCCGCCTCCAACTTTCTTCCCATTCCCTGTCCCCATCCCTATCTCGCTGGGAAGGGATTATTCGGGGGTGGGGAATCTCCACCCCGTTAATAAGTTATAAAAAAAATAAACATTAAAAATACTTAAATAAATAACACATATATATTCATCCCCAACTCAAAGTAGTATTCCATATTTTACAATTAAACATGTTATTTAAATATGCATTTCATAAGTATGACATACAATGACAAGAATGATTCTAAAATTATATATATTGTATACAAAGTACTACATATGTGTGTATTGTGTGGCCACACACACACACACACACACACACACACACACACACACACACACACACACACACACACACACACACACACACACACACACACACACACACACATATATATATATATATATATATATATATATATATATATATATATATATATATATATATATATATATATATATCGGGGGCGGGGCGGGGAGGGGAGAATACTCCCCATCCCCGACGGGGAATTCAAAATTGCCCCCATCCCCATCCCCGATCCCCTATTTCTTTTCCCAATCGGGTTCCCCTTTGGGTCCGGGTACATTGACATCCCTAGGACCTTAGCTTCAAAGCCATAAGTTAGTGAGAAATGAATTTCTCTAATGGCTCTTCATAGGGTGGTTCGATTAAACCATAATATATATTAGAGCTCCCCAGGCTCCACCCAACCCTTTTATTGATTTTGTTCATCAAGGTACGATTCATACTCTTCATTTGTTTGTAACATTTAGGGTGGGCTATGGCTACCCAAGTGTACCTGATTCCCCGTTTTGCACATAAATTATAGAATATTGTACTTCAAATTGCTTAGATATCCTAAATCAACATAAGTCACACTAGGTTTTTGTGATGGTGACTAACTATTTAACCTCTACCCATTTGGTGAAGTAATCAATTGCAACAATCATGAAATTTTGCCATTCTAAAACTACATGCAAAGTGCTCAATAAATCAATACCCCATCAAGTGAATGGAAGAACAGTATGTAGTGATGGGGTGAAGTATGTAAGTAACTTTTTGGAAATGTGTGTAAATTAGTGATTAATCGGTATGTGTGAACTTATGCCAAACATTCTTGTTGCACTGTCAACTAATAATTTTTTTTTTTTTTTTTGCCAAGGTATGAGTATCGTGATGGGAAGAACATCCATGCTTCAATTCCTCAATAACTTGCTTAACTTCTTCTTGTGGAGTTAAGCACTTTAGCAATGGTCTCATGAATAATCACATGTACAATTTTTCCTCTATTGTGACATGTTTTTTGTCCATTAGTTTGTCTTTGATCTTGATAGATTAAAATGCTAAAGCCTTGAAATGATGATATAGGGTCACTTATACTTACCCAAATATCACAAACCTAACATATGGTTTGTAAGAGTACATAAAATATTTTCATTTAGTAGCAAATAATTCCACATAAAAAGTAAAAAAAAAAATTAAAAATCTTCTTGATTCACCCAAGTATTGTCCTCTTTGATCTTGTAACCATAATAATCTTCTATCCTTTCTATAGCCAAACAACTCCTGATAATTTCATTTTTCGAAAGTAATCCCCACAGTAAATTTGATGCATTCCATCTACCAAAATCGTATATACACCCGAAATAGCCAACTTCCCCTCCTGTGTGGCTGACTAGCCTATTCGAGAGAGAGAGAGAGCCTATCGAATTTTCACCTTCCCAAGCGTTGTCGATCGCGCCGCTTGTCAGGTCTGTCTCTTAGACTGTTTGCTCCTCACTCTAACGGTGCTTCTTTTCTGTTCAATGCTAGGGTTATCGATGCAAGTCCCGTGATTGATCAGAGCCGGAGTTTTTTCTTTTCTTTTTAGTTTGGGGGTGAGTGCGTGGGGTTGCTGTTTGTGTGAAATAGTAAGACAGTGATAAAGATGGAATTTTTATGAACCCGTTCTTGGGAATTTTGTGTGTACTATTTCTTATAGGATCGTTTGCTGATACGTCCTTAAAGATTGGGCCTATGAATTTAGATATTGTTAGGAATTGAGGGTTGATGGATTTTGATTGTTGAGCTTCAATTGGTTAAATTCTGGGTTTGTGAATTTTTGTTTTTTGAGTTTACATGTTCTTGGTAAAATATTCTAAGACGGAACGTCTTTTTTTTTTTTTTTTTTTTTTTTTTTTTCTTTGAGTCTTCTTCAGTCGGTTTGTACCTCATTGAGTGTTGATAGGTTAGTGCCTGAATTTTGTGTTCATAAGATGGGTTTCTTTGTCAATTGATGCCATTGATGAAATATCACTGGTGAGTCCATTTATAATTTCCTTTCTCATTTCTTAATGAAATTCCTTCAAATATGAATTATATTTGTGTATAGGCTTAGAGTTGAGTTTTTGTGCAGAGTACAATAGCTATGGATATTGTATCCTTAATTGTTGAATGGAGCTTGAATTCTGTTCTTTGATTTTTCTTTACTCAAGTGCTTATTTGTTTCTGATAATTGTTTTCTTTCTCTCGGGCTTTGGATTTCAAGTAAATTTGATTGTTGGGTTTCATTTTTTCTGTTTTTCTCTGTGACTAGCAGTGTTGCAAAAATCGGGCCTAGGCGCCGGTTAATCTGCGCTAGGCGGTCGGCCACCTAGGCACCGATTAATTGCTCTAGGCGCCGATTAATTGCTCTAGGCGCCGATTAATTGCTCTAGGCGCCGATTGATTGCTCTAGGCGCCGATTGATTGCTCTAGGCGCCGATTGATTGCTCTAGGCGCCGATTGATTGCTCTAGGCACCCTAGGCGGTCCCCAGGCGCCTAGCGATTTTTTCAACATTGGTGACTAGCTAATATTTGTTATGCACATTTGTTTTGTTCCTTGTTTGAGATGATGAAAATAATCTCAACTTAGAAAATGGGAAGTATTATAGTGAAAGGGTAGTTTGGTGGATGAGACCCCTGCTGGTGGAGTCCCTTCGTACTGCGATACATGATACGTCTATCACTTGCTGGCCTCAAAAACTTCACATATTAAAAAATTTAAGCTTCAAAGTATTACTTAATGCAGCATGTTGACCTCATTGAGGTTTTCTTCTGGAAACTCACAATTGAGTCACTTCTAGTTGTCTGTGCAGGAACACTGAATTGCCTTTCCTCATCCACATCCTTGATTCTGCTATATTCCCCATCCCACAATGTAGGCTGTTAGAAACATTCTTTCTTTCATTTTTATTTGAATGAAGTTGGAGGGTTATTAGTTGCCCATACTTAAGCAATCCAATGGCATGTCTATGCATATTTTGTACATTCCTATGCCAAATGTTTCTGCTTGTCTTCTATTCCCCTTCTTGGCACATTCTATCTTATAAGGTATTATTATTATTGTTGTTGTTGTTGTTCTTGTTTTTCTGTTCTTAAGTTGTCGATTCTTATGTGTTCAGGTTTTAGTGAGAAAGGGATAAGATGGGTAATAATGGAGCCGAGTGTATAAAAGTTTCTGGGAATGATGAGGCTGAATGTCCAGAGACCACTGTTGAGATTAAGATAAAGACATTGGACTCTCAAACATACTCATTGCGAGTAGATAAATGTGTAAATACCTTCTTTCTTTATCCCTCATTCCTGTTTATTGTACTCCACATGAAAGATGTGTATTTGTTGCTAGGAAGTCTCTTTGTTTGAATCATTGAGCACCTTTTCCGATATCAATATTTGTCTGTGTACACCTACTCTTTCATATTTAAAGTAAATTGAGAACTTGCATTCACATCTTAACTAGAAGTGAAAATGCATTCTCTTGTACATTTTGAACCTGGCAAAGATCCACTCTTTGAAGTTTTCTACTTGGTTATAAATGACCTCATGGAAGTTTCAGCGCTTCTTTCTCAATGTGTTCATTTCACTGCAGGTTCCTGTTCCTGCACTAAAGGAGCAAATTGCTACAGTTACTGGTGTCTTGTCAGAACAGCAGCGGCTTATATGCCGTGGAAAAGTTTTGAAAGATGATCAACTTCTTTCAGCTTATCGTATCCTCATGTTTCTCATTTAACTTTCGAGGAAATACTAGACAGATAAGATTCAGACCTAGTTATTGGATACAATGTTTTTCGTTTTCTTAGTGCCCACCTCTAATGCATTCCTTCTGCCCATAAGAAACTTCATGTTATTGACTGAGTGCTCTCACTGGTTGAGAATGCATTTATACATTTTTTATTCTTGAAATTCACTACCCTTCTTTCAATTTTATTGATGTGGACCACTTTGGTACTGCCATTGAATTACTTGATGTTGATTATTGATGCCTGAACAGAATTTCTTTGTTTGAATGTGACATTATCATTCTCTGTTATGTCTTTTATAATGTTCATTCATGAACACGTTTCTAATTTTTATATCAGGTAGTAAGAACCACTTTTGTATGTTATTTCTTATGATTCTCAAGTGTGGATCAAGCTACATATTGTGACAGTCTGATTTATTTGTGTTGCTTCTGATTTTTTTCCTTTTGCAATTAAAACCCACTTTCCTCTTGATTTTTTTGGTGGGAGGTGGTTCTGTTGTTTTATAAGTTGTACTTGTCTCTGCTCTTATTTTCTGCAGCTTTCTTTTTGATGGTGGTAAAACTGTTTTCATCGGTAAAATCTTGATTTTGTGCACTGATGTAGATACCTGAGTACCTTAATGAATCTTTTGTTAGACGTGGAAGATGGACACACTCTGCATCTGGTTGTGAGGCAACCATCATCAGAAAGCAATCCTGATCCTCAAGGTTCATTACTCTAAGCCACAGATAATTCTTCAATAAAGTCAATGTGTGCTTCATATAAGATTTAACAAACTTGACCTTTATTATGGTTTTGCTCCTGCTTCTGTTAGCTCTCTGTTTTATATGGATAGTGAACTTTTCTTGCAATTGTGACCATTTTTTTGTTTGTTTAAAAAAGCTTAAAAAAGAACTTCAAAGTGAACATTGGCTTAGTTGTTTTATTAAAAGCTCTTGAGAGGTTCAAAATGAGAACAGGTTCTTGTAAAAAGTGAGGATTGATCCTGCCCATAGGGTTCATCAATGGTTGAGGGTTTTAGTAAAAAACAAAACATGGGGTCAATTTTATAAATATTGCAAACTTTCAAGTTTGCAATATTTATAAAATTGACCCTACCCCTTTTCCCCTTATCTTTCAACAACCCTCAACCGTTGATCTACCCATATGGATGGATTAGATCAGTCCTCACTTTTTACCTGGGAGCATTTTCTCACTTGAACCCTCCCCTATATATGTATACATATATGTAGCATCAAGGAGATCAATTATTAAATGTTTTTGAAGTTTTTATTATCTAGTATTCTCAGCCAAGGACAATGAAATTGCAGGAACCTCTACTTCATCAGGTTTAGGGAATGCCCAAGGCAGTCCATCGGGTCCTGGTCTATTTGTGGGTACTTTAAATCTTTCTGAACATGGTGATGGTGCTTTCCCTGATATGAGTCGGGTAAGCATATTTTTAGCACTAACATTTTATTTGAGCTTTATGTACATGAATCAGCAAACTCAAATCATTTTATTCCTTTCGTAATGTAGATTGTCTCAGCTGTACTTGGTTCCATTGGAATTGCAAGTCTTGGGAGTGGAAGTGAGGGGATTGATCTCAATGTAAGTTTTATTAGACGGTTTTATAAATTGTAGTTTTCTTTTTGTGGTTGCAGTTCCTTTTTAATTTCTGAATGTATTATCTATTTTATAATTTCCTTGGAAGATTATGGTTGCCCCTTTCCTCCCTTGTAAATTGTTTGGGAAGGGGGAGGTAAACTCACAACCTCAAGGTTGGGGATGTAGGGGGGGCTTCTTTGCATTAAATAAGCTAGCACTGGAGTGAGGATTAAATAGATAAATTGGCCTTGTTTGGTAACATAGTTAGCTTATCAGCTAATTTTGGCTTATTTGACCACTATTAGCTGTTTGAGTTGGTTAAACAGCCAATATAAGTGTTTGATTAATTAGCTTTCTGTAACAACTTATTGCTCCAAAACGCTAAAATTCAAAAAACGGCTCAAAGCAGCTTTTTGGGAAAGTCATTTTGCATGTAATCAGCTATCAGCTAACAACTAATTTACCAAACATCTTTCTACAATCAGCTAATGCTATCAACTAATCAAACCCACTGACCCAATAAGCTAACAGTTATCAGCTAACAACTATTTACCAAACACCCCTAAAAGCTTGTGGAGGGAGGAGTTCCTGTGCTTAACAACATCTATTTATATTTGTATTATTTTGACACTAAGCATGCATAGTGTATATGAACTGTCCTTTTCTGGGCAAGGGATGATGACTTTGAGCTTTTACATTTTATGAAGATGATGCTGGTTGTAACAGCCTCATTTTTTTTTTTTTTCTTGAATTATTAACCAGGGTCTTGGTAATCTGAGAAATTCTCTAAGACAGCAGAATGAGCAAGGTGGTTTAAGGGATCAATCTAGTTCCAGTTCTGATGCTTCTGCTCGTCAGGCAGATGTTCCGCTGGATTCCATGCAACTTCCGGTAAATTTCACAGGCCTTCTGAGGATGCAGATAACCTCTCTTACATTATTCTCTAAATTTGAATGCCTTCCTTTGTCATATTAAAGTTCATATTCTTCTTAAATCCTCCTTAATGTCACTTGAAATTTCTTTAACTCTCTTCTATGTTTTTCCTTACCAATACATTGCTAATCAAAAGCGATTTTCCTGCAGGTTATTACAGACGCTTTGACAACTTTGTCCCAGTACTTGACCCATTTGAGGGAGACAAGTGGTAATATGTGGATTCTATATATCAAGTCTAGAGGAAAAAGCTGGTGCTGGACAAGGGTACTCTCAGTTCTCTAATATGTTTTACGCTGTGATTTGCAGTTGGAGGGCAGAGTGGAATTTCACTAGCTTCTGGCGCTAATGGAAGCAACAGACAAGATTCTGATGCTTCTTCGTATTCAACTGGGCAGGGAGGCCTTCCAACACCAGAATCGTTGGCAGAGGTGTTGCAATCCACTAGAAGATTAATTGTTGAGCAAGCTGCAGAATGCTTGTTGGTAAGCTCATTTAATATGATTCTAATATGGTTTTAAACTAGTATAAAAAATACTGTAACTTATGAAGTGACAAATGAACCAAAATACAATAACTAACCAAAAAAGAAAGACATATATAAAGAGCATTATAGCATGAAATTGCCCCCAAAGATTCAAAGAAGTGTCAGAGTTAAGTCACCAAAAGTTACATAGGTCGGCAAAGGTTAAAAATAACTAAATTTCACTACTCAAATTTCTTAAAACTTCTTCACCATCATTAATCTGTGTTCTTGACATGTCCCCCCAAAAAAGTCAATACATGATATTTGGTCCCCGACATGTGTTTTGACAGTGTTCAAGGAGTATTGGTGCTGGGTATGAGTGCAGGACATACATGTGACTAAAAAGTTGGTTTCTGTGCTTTCCAGGCAAATGAACTGGGGCTTGACTAGAAGATATACGACTGCTAATTTGGTCGTAACTGGTGTATACAGCTTGTAGGCACAGTATCAAAATTATAGCTTCACTTCATTGAAAAGTGAATGAAAGTGATCTGAACATGATATATTTGCTAAGAATTAACAGGCTTCTCTTAGTTAATTTTGTAATCATTTTCTGTTTCATTAATAAATTTTCTTTATGAACTTCAGTTCAAAGAAGGATGTAGAATATTTACAACAAATGGATAGGATTTAGGTTCAGGTGTTACATTTTCCTCATCTAGAGTGGGATTAAGGCTTAATTGAGCTTAGGGAGGATATACCGATATAGTATATGATATGGTGAGAAAAAGAATATCTCAATGCCTTTGTTTACCTTGTAAGTCCTGGTCTTTCTAATCCTTGTTTTTCCTAATCACTTAACTATATTAGAAAGAAAACATCACATGCTTTGTGATTATGGATTGATGCTTAAGTTTCTCATTATAAGAGATAAAGTAATACCTTCACTTTGGATGTAGTAATGAGCCTATAGTAATTTTTTTTTTCCAGCAACTGTCAAGACAACTGGAGAATCAAGGAAATGTGACAGATACAGTAGAGAGAATGAGGATTCAAAGACTTGCTTTAAGCTCCGGAGCTTTTTTTCAACATATAGGTGCTTTATTACTCGAGCTTGGTCGGACCACAATGACATTACAAATGGGTCAAACACCAGTAAGTTTACTTTTCCTTTCCGGAATTGATTATTATTTTGCAAGCATTATACCATCTGGTCTGTGGTTGGAAATTTGTTTTTATTCTACTTGAAAACAACCAAAATTTTACTGATGGATTCAAAACCTAGGATAATGCTGTGGTGAATGCGGGACCTGCTGTTTTTGTTTCTGCAACTGGGACCAATCCGATAATGGTTCAGGTTTTGTTATTTTCTAATCTAGTGCAGATACATATTCATCTTTCGAAGTATCTTGTTATGCATTCTTAAGTTGGTGTGTATTCTGATTTTAGTATATCGGGAAACTTGTGCAGCCACAACCTTTTCAAGCAGGCACTGGAATTGGCGCAATTCCCCTTGGATCTGTACATGGCTCTGGAATTTCTGGGGGCTCTGTCGGTTCTGGTTTCATTCCTAGAAATATTGACATCAGAATACGAACAGGTAAAATGCCTGCAGAATTGAGTTCGGTATTGTATGCTGACATATGATTCATTCTTGTAAATTGCTCTTCTTGGCTTGTCACTGCACGATAGTATGATACAACAGATATGGATCGTGTCCTTGACTTATCTCTGCTTCCTCTTGAAATCTAATAGAACGCACTGTTGCCACAATGCCACTAGGTGCATATATGCCAAGCATTGTTAACAGAAGAGATCCAACTGGTCCCCAGACTCTGGGGCAAGCTGCGCCGCCTGGGGCTCCTAATGTTGAAAATTCGACTCAAGGCACTGAAGGTAATAGAAGCTCTACCACCAGGGGGGTGGAGGTGAGGGTACTTCCTATTAGGACTTTGGTTGCCGCAGTTCCTGCTTCTGTTGGACGTGCAGCAGCTTCTGATTCGGCTCGAGGTTCTATGGGGATATTCAGTCCAGTTTTAGGTAGAGTTCAGCATCTCAGTTCTGAAAATGCTAATAATTCAAGTGCTGCTTCACAAGGATCTCATCAAAACCATCCCCACAATGTTGAGATTGGACAACAGTCAATCCCTGATGCTGCAGGACAGAGAAACGTTAGACTATTTGGAGTTAACGGTAATGTGAATGTGATATTTTTCATCTTATTTATCTTCTATTTTTTTTTTTTTTTGGTTTCAACCACACATTGTGGTCCGGGTCTTTCTCTGTCCGTTTAACGGTCCAGGTCCACCCGGTTCGCTCCGAGAGGCACAGAAGCTAGCCCAAAGGAGATCGTCACTTATGGGAATCGAATCCGGGTTATCCCGGAATTCTCCCCCACAAAGAGAGCTCATTTGCCACCTGAGCTAACCTGTTGGGTTATCTTATTTATCTTCTATTGACACCCTTATATTCTTCCCCTTCCTGTTCTATTGTTGGTTTATGAGTTATCTGACAAAACACGTAAGCACTGAGTTCTGCACGCTTGATTGTTTCAGTCAATCGTAGCTCAACTGGTGAAATGTCGAGTAGAGTTGAGCACTTTTTGAGAGCGTTATTCCCCGGTGAGCAGCTTCAAGTTGAGAATGTCAGTGTCCATGGCATGAATACACATTCCGCTGCTGGTGAGAGCGTTGCAACCCAAAATACTGCTGCTTCTCAAGAGACGGGAGCAATAGAAGATGGAGTGTTTTTATCCAATATACTACGTCACATCTTGCCCATTGTATCTGAAACCACAGAAACGGTGCCTAATATCCCACCCACTGAACAAGTAGATGTTGCTGAGGATAGAAGTACACAAGCTTCAACACAGGTAAGCTATCGTTTAACATCCTCTCTCAGTGGGCTTTAGATGATTAGATCATAAGATACTTATAATATGTTTTAAAGGATAACTGCATCTTGATGACCAAGCATTATTACTTATTAGAGCATTGCACGATTGCAGGCTCAAGATAATGTAGAGCAAGCAACCTCCTCTCGGCGTCGACGTGACCCTCGATTGCAACCAAGCTCAAAACGTCAAAAGGTATTTGTTCTTTTCAACCTGACTGCTTTCCCCAGCTTTCTGAAGTAGAGGAAACCTTCACCAGACACACGTACACATTCATGAAAAGTGAGGAAAAAGAAGGTTGAGGGCAAAATTTCTCTTTAGATAGTACTATTTACTCATTTGGTCACACTAGGTTGAAGTAGGCTATAACTATGATAGTGGAGGTCAGCATTCCATGGTTTGTTGTGGAGATAGGATAATGTAAGAGTAACCTCTGCTGATATCTAGGGATAGATATAATATAAGTGGAATATGAATTGCATAATTGCTTCTAAGCTCATTACCTCTCTGGGTTTTGTACCTACCTTAGAGGAAAAAAAAAAAAAAGGAAACTAAAGGAAATGATGTTTTTATTTGTTGAATTTGGAGGATGGAATGGCCTGGCGGGTAGAGAATAACAACCACCCGCCAGTTAGGCGGAAGCAAAGATGAATCAAGAATGGAAAATGTATATAAGACTGAAAGATTAGAAAATGTATGATTCTATATTATCTCTGTTTCTAATAAAGAAACATAGTACACAGTACACACACACATAACTGTAAGTACCTATCCGTAAACTGACACCTATTCATAAACAGACACCTCTATAGATAAACCTAACTTTTTATTTTTCAACATTATTCACTTGGAAGTCAAGAAGCTACTCTTGGGGAAAGATAACAGCTTTCTTTTTTCTTTTCCATGCTAAATATTTGATGGGATTATGCTATTCTACCGTCTATCGTCTTTTTATGTTGGCCATTCACACTGCATAGAGTTTTAGTACATAATTGGAGTGCAGTTAACCAGCTCTACTTGAATTTGGATCCCAATATCCCATGGCTTACACTATCATATATTGATTGTTAATTTATGTCGATAAACCTGTTTGTTCAATGTATGACCCAAGAGTAAAGCTCATCAACTGTATATTGTGCAACATCTAATTGGAGCTAGTTTTGAGAGAACGGGGGCTGACCCATTTCTCATTAAATTTCCGTGTGCTTAGTTACTATAGAAAAATCCTTCTTTATTGGTTGAACTTATAATTTAACTCCCATGGCTGGGTGCATATTTCATGTTGGGTTTTCCTGGAAATAATTGTTTAACTTTATAACACAGCGGGAGTGATTTCAAGAGTTGCTGAGGTGGACCGATTGCAGCTGGATAATATGCTTATGGATATGATATTTTGATTTGTATTATAGAACTGAAAACTCTGCTTTGGCTGCAAGGGTTTCTGGGACTCTTTGCGCGAATCTGAGGAACATTTTTCTTCTGAGTATTCAATAAGATTTTCTGTATTCTGAACCATATGATACTTCTATGATTTGAATGTGAAGGGTTACCAAATGGTATTTTGAGCTTTTTTTGTTAGAGCTGAAGAAGAGAAATGTCTCTATACACTATCAATCTTGAGGTCAACTATAGTACAACAAGGTGCATTCTGCAAATACAAAGATGAAATTAGTTCATATATAGGGAAAAACCACCGAGTATGTATATATATATATATATATATATATATATATATATATATATATATATATATATATATATATATATATATATATATATATATATATAGCTCATGCATACATGGCTGATTGTATGAGTTTATTTCCATTCTTCTTTTCTTACCGGGGAAAGTGAGCCGGGTAATGTACTTTTCCTTTTATTATTAAGGTGATGTGAAAGTAGAATTACTTTTGAGAGTGGAGAGGGAGCGGTATGCTTGCAGAGTGGATAGTGATTAATTGTAAATTTAGTAATATGACAATATGATTTATTTTGAAAGTGAAAGAATTGTATGAATGCAAATAACTTTATGTTCATCTCTTTTGTTGAAGATCCCTTATTAGTTATTTCTCTCTTTATGTTGTTCATCTCTTCATTCTCTTGACACATTTTCCTTTTATCTTCCCTTTTGGAATCATCATTCTCTGCCAAAACCATCCCCCAAACGCACACACACCTTGTGTAAGGGTTGTGCGGGAAAAGGAGATGAGAAGCCTACAGAACCCCTACAACATAACATACGTTTTTGGACATTCCAATGTAAAAAGATTTTGGGATTTTTCTCTTTAAAGTGTGTTGTTTTCTTTTTTTTTTGGCTAAAGTGTCATCCCGCACCATGAACCATTCATGATTATTCATGCCGCACCATGATCTTTAATTAGTGATATTTAGAGCCATAAACCATAATTTTTTTTTCGTCTAAAACTTTTTACAGGTTTCCTACAAGTTACCGGTAATAATATTGCTGATATAGAATTTTTTTTTTTTTTTTTTTGGTATTTTTCTACTTTCGCCTTCGTATTATAATTTGTTTCATATTTTTCTTTTTTTTCCTAAATGTATAGGCCTGCTCTGCGTTTTTCGCTTCTCGTTTTTCTGATCAGGCCTGATATGTATAGGCCTGCTCTGCAGAGTTTGGTATCGGAGAAACGAGAAGCGAAAAACGCAGAGCAGGCCTATACATTTAGGAAAAAAGAAAAATACGAAAAAAAATTATAATACGAAGGCGAAAGAAGAAAAGTACCAAAAAAACTAATAAAAAATTTCATGTAAGCAATATTATTACCAGTAACCTGTGGGAAACCTGTAAAAAGTTCTAGATGGAAATTTTTTTATAGTTTATGGCTCTAAATATCACTTATTAAAGATCATGGTGCGGCATGAATAATCAGGAATGGTTCATGGTGCGGGATGACACTTTAGCCTTTTTTTTTTCTGGTGCATTGGTAAAGTGTATTGGTTTTTCTTAGGTGCTTTGTTTTCCTTCCTTAAGGTGCGTTGGTTTTCTTCTTAAGATGCTTTGTTTTCTTTCTTAAGGTGCTTTGTTTGCTTTCACATTGTTTTCCTTCTTAAGGTGCACTATTGTTATATTTTTTTCTTTAACTGAGGGCGCGCTTTAAAAAATTAAAAATTAAAAATTAAACTGTTGATCTAAGTTTGATCTAACGGTTTAAATTTCACTCCATCTCTCTTTGCTGAACTCGTTCCTTAACTCATTCTTCAAAGTGAAAATACCAAGTCTCAAAGAAAAAAAAAAAACACACAAAATTTGTTTATTCACATTACAAGACAAAAACAAAACAAAAAATTAAAAATAAGATATTTAAAGTCACTAGCATCCCAATTAAATTAATAAAGTAGTATAATTATATAATCTTTATATATATATATATATATATATATATATATATATATATATATATATATATATATATATATATATATAGAGGTTCAGGTGCGGTGGGCAGTCCCAGGTGTGGTTGTGCGGTTAAAACAAAGTCATTGATTATGCTTAAACCAACGTTTAAGAATACCATAATTAAGAAAGAAATTGTGGTTGCAATTTGGTAATTTTTGCATCTAGGTCAAAATTAAGGTGAATGGTTTTGTGATTAAGGTGTGTGAGTTTTGTATATAAGGTGCGTGGGTTGTGTACTTTTTTTTTTGAATGCTACTAGCTATATTACAATGTAATATCTCTGTTCATATACTTTCTCAACCTACTGAAACACAAAGAGCTAATAACGCCTCCACTAAGGCTCGAACTCACAACCTTCCAAATGGAAGTCCAACCCGGGTACCATTAGACCACATAGTCCTGGTGCGTGGGTTGTGTACTTAATGGTCGTAGTTGTTGAAACTTAAAGTGTGTGAGTTTTGTGTTTAAGGTGCGTGAGTTTTGTGTTTAAGGTGCGTGAGTTTCTGCTTAATGTGAATAGTTGTTGTAACTTAGGTGCGTGAGTTTGCTTCTTAATGTGCGTTGTTTTCATCCTTAAGGTGCGTGATTTGTATGCTTAAGGTGCGTCAGTTGTGTGAAACTTAAAGTGAACCATTTTTAAAACCTTAGGGGGGCATTTGGTTCAAGTTATATAAGATAACCAATGTTATATTTGCTTGGTAATATAAGATTCTCATGTTTGGTTCAGGTTATGTAACTTTTCCAGGGAATGTCAGATAACCCCCGCATTAAGTTTTTAGCTATTGAAAGGGAATGTGAGATACCCTCCAATTTCTTAGGTAATCTCACATCCCCTTGTCTTATTACTAATGTTGGGCTTTGGACGTTTTAATCAATTTATCTCATTACTGTTGTCTTATTTACATATTTTAGTTTTAAACCAAACACAAGAATCTAACATTCCCAGTAATCTAACATTCCCAACAATCTAACATTCTTTAGGGGGCGTTTGGTTTACGGAATCTTGGATTACCCCAGGTAATAAGATTACCTCCAGGAAGGTAATGTGAGATGTTGGGAATGTAAGATTACCTTGTGTGTTTGATTTGGATGGTGCAATATAATATTACCTTGTTTGGTTCAAGGTTATATTTTAGATTATATGATCAATTTACAATAATGTCCTCAATAATATATATATATATATATATATATATATATATATATATATATATATATATATATATATATAATGTGTGTGTATTTATTTATATGTATGAATGTATATCAATGCTTAAATATTAAAAAAACTAAATATATAAATATACACATGTATATTTAATTATATAAACATATATTAATTTCATTATTATTATTATTATTATTATTATTATTATTATTATTATTAGTTAACAAGGGCAAAGTTGGAATAATTCAAGGTAATCTAAGATTACCTAAAAAAATTGGGAGTAATCATATTACCTTGAAACATTACCGCCACATCAGCTTTAAGGTAATATAACATTACCATGTAGTCTTATAACTTGAACCAAACAAGGTAATATAACATTACCAGACTCAAATTACCTAGGTAATCTAAGATGACCTGAACCAAACGCCCCCTTAAGGTAATCTAACATTCCGTGAACCAAACACCCCCTAGGTGCGTGGTTTATATTCTTAAGGTGTTTTGTTTATTTGTTTGATGTGTGTGTGTTTTGTACTTAAAGTGCGTCAGTTTAATGCTTAATGTGCGTCCAATCGCACAACCACATGGGAAGCTTTAACCGCACCTGAACTGTTTAAGTGTTTTTTACTTAATGTTTAAGTATGCGTCAGTTTAATACTTAATACTTAAGTATTTGCTCATAAACATGTTCGTGAACATTATTAAATGAACATAAACGAGCTTCTTCACTAATTTTTAACAAATGAGTCAATAAATGTAATGTTCAAACTTTGTTAATTTATTAATTGAGCTCTAAAATTTGCTCATTTATATTTATTTTATATTAATAAATAAATGCTTATCGAACACAGACATGACATTTTTTGGGCTAACTCGTATGTTTTAGTTTTATACACCTCTTAACCCTGTACTACTGATCTTTTAACACGATTTTCCCAAACGACCCCTTAGCGTTTGACTAGCACTATAAAATGCGTTGAAACCCTGTCTTCTTCCCTTGCTGCCTCTAGGGTTTTTAGCTGCCGATCCAACTCGCTCCTATCTTCTTGCGACACATCGGCGGCTACAATCATGGCGGAGCAGGTTCTACTCTCTTTGAACTCTCTCTCTATCTCATGTATACACACTTGCACTTTCAATCTGAATTGATTTATAGAGAAATCTCAAACATTTCGGTTTGTATTGCAGACTGAGAAGGCTTTCTTGAAGCAGCCGGGAGTTTTTCTCAGGTATAGATAGGATTTATGCGAACGAACTTTCTCTTAATATGCTCAGTTAACCTACATGCTTATAGGTGCTTTGTGGGGTGGGTTTCTGTGAATGGTTTGGAAAGTCTTTGGTTAAAATTTTAAAGTTTCAGTTTTTATTGCAATCTGCAGCTCGAAGAAAACAGGGAAGGGTAAGAGGCCCGGTAAGGGAGGTAATCGATTCTGGAAGAGCATTGGATTAGGGTTTAAGACACCTCGCGAGGCTACTGAAGGTTCATATCTATTCTGTCCCTCCCGGTATTCTTTGTAGTGGGCTGTGAAAAAAATTAATTTTATATCTGATATAAGTGAGATTCCTGCTTGGTTTTGTGGTTTTTTTGGATATGGGGTGAGCTTTATTTTAATTCTTCTCTCGGATGTATCTGATTTTGACTATAATGTGTTTGTATGATGATATGTTAAGATTCAAGTTGGCAAGTTGGTAGCTTATGTGCAATATGTAGAATTGTGTAGTTTTGAATAAATCCAGTCTGCAATGCAAATATCAAGCCATAAATATGAAAGTAGTGATTTGATTATATATATTAGACCAACTTATATCAAGCTTGACAACTACTGGGATCTTTAATTATTATTGTTATTGCCCTATCTGCTTATAAAATGGAGAACTGGTTGAAGACAACAAGGAGTGAGGCAATTAGATGGTTCAACATTTGTGATTTTGCACATTGGAAAAGCTGTGTGAAACCTTATCTTTATACTCCATATATAGTTAGTGTTTATTCTACTCCGTAATTTATATCCATAACATGCTACTAGTTATGTGATGTTTGTGTATTAGACCAATTTATGTGATGCAATGGGGTACTGCTAGGTTCTCTAATATGCTCATTCTATCCTCTGCGTGCTGTAAGGAATCTTCAGTATCTTGCATTAGATTCAGCTCCAATAGCGATTTTTCTTTCCACAGATTTGTTCCTTTAGCAAATCGTACTGTTATGATGTGTGTAATACATTCTATTTATCATACCAAAATCTGTAGTGTGTCTTTGTATTCCCCACTGCAGATTAGGTAATTGTGGAAAATTTGTGTTTCCATCTCAAATGTGGTTTGAGCTTGATTCTAAAGTAGTTCTGTTTCTTGATTTTAGGGACATATATTGATAAAAAATGCCCCTTCACTGGTACTGTTTCTATCAGAGGTCGTATCCTTGCTGGGACATGCCATAGTGCTAAGATGAATAGAACAATCATTGTTCGTAGGAACTACCTTCACTTTGTGAAGAAGTACCAGAGGCAAGACTTTGTCAACATTTCCCCTGTTCTAAAACTTCTAATTTTGTTATGATTTGGAGAAATTCTAATTTGCGTTTTGTGCTGTAGGTATGAAAAAAGACACTCAAACATTGCTGCTCACATATCACCTTGCTTCCGTGTGAAAGAGGGAGATTACGTTATCATTGGCCAATGCAGGTCAATATCAGAACCATTACTATTCTTTTTCCCCTTAATTTTCTCGTGTTCTCTTCTTTTTTTTTTTTTTTTTTTTTTTTTTTTTTTGGGATGATGGGGACAACCTCACAACGGGTTTGAGTAAACCTCACTTTGTGACCCTAGCCAGCATCCAACCTAGTTTACCCATAGCTGACTGACTCAAACCAAGAGGGCAAGGATTCGAACTTGTGACCTTGTGATTACAAGCGTGGATCCCTTGCCATCTTGGCTGGGGTTACTCGTTCTCGTGTTCTTTTCTTTTGCCAAACATTTTGACAGTGTTGTTCCCATGACAGGCCATTGTCCAAAACTGTGAGGTTCAACGTTTTGAAGGTGATTCCTGCTGGCTCTGCTGGTGGCGGAAAGAAGGCGTTTACTGGCATGTGATTTTGCGGTTTTCTTGTTAACATCAAATTATTCGAGTTATGATATTAGACTCTTTTTTGTTGAACTCATACTATTCAGTAGCCCCATGTTTACATTTTTGAATGCTGAGATGTAGTCGAGTTCTTGAATCACTCAGTAAGTTTATATCAAGACTTTATTTGCACTTGGCCTCGTTCTTCTAAGTTTGATTTGAGAATATCTTTCTACCATACCAAAATTTACAACTGCTACAACTTATCTAATTTTTATTAAGTTCAAAATTTGATTTGATTTGATTTCATGTTGTAAAAGTCACCGATATAAATTGATGTTTTTTCTAATTATATTACTATTAATTTATGTCTATATAAAATTTAAAAGTTTATTTATATTTTTTCTAATTATATTACCATTAATTAATTTATATAATAATTTAAAAGCTTTAACTTTTAATTGACAAACACTAACACACCATGGCCTTCACTTTTTAACCTGCAAAATATAGACACAACTACGGACTACCTCATAGTTGAATTGCTTTTAGAAAGTGGAAATTTGGTTATAATATATGCGTTTTTCCAAAACAATATTAATTTGGATACAAAACTTACATTCAACACCCAGTAATTAAACTTTTAACAACTTTAATTTTTAAAATGATCACATAATTATTACTTATATCGATAAAATTGATTGCTATTAAGTTTAATTATATTGATTGATTTAAGTGGATATGTAATAGTCTCTAAATTTAATTTTGCAAAAATTATGGAATATATTGTTTTGGTTGTTTTTAAAGAGAAAATATAAAGACCAAATGAAACAAAATATACGGAGTATGTAACAAATTCATGCAAAATAAAAGTGAATATTATTTACTAAAGGCTAAAGTCATATCATATCGAGGAAACAGTACAGAGAATCCTCCAAAATTTCAGTCAGCTTATCACTGATACTGCACAATAACAACTAGATCAATTGCTGGTTAGCAGAAGAACCCTAGTTTTTCAAGAGTGGGCATTAAACTTGTGGAAGAAGAAACCAAGTTTTTCAAAGTCCCACATCAACCCAATGCCATCACCCTCCTGCAAATCCCTTCTCTTCACAAACTCCATACTCCAGTTGCTGGTTAGCAGAAAGCTCCCTGTTTTCCATTGCTTCAGCCTCAGCTCGTGTTCAGAAATGGTGTCCAAATCCCACACTTTCACAAGCCGCACGTCTCTCATCATCCATCAATGGCAGAACGTACTTCCTCACATACTCCTTACTCAACAACAGCCTCGAAGAATCGTTCACGTCGCTTAAGCTTAGCCGCTTCTTTATCCAGTGCCCCCCACCTTCCGCCCTCTGTTTCTTCGCCCCTCCTTCGTCTGATCCGGATTTATCGGTTCCGGAATCTCCAATTTTCTCCCATTTGCGTTTCATCGAGGGAATCTTGTCCTCCAAGTAATCTTCAAATGCGGCAGAAACCGGAAAGAGATCAAGATCAAAGGGGGGATTTGAAAGGGTTGATGGAGACGACAAGAGCGTAAATGCGAATTGCTGGAGATTGGGTAGGGCAGAATTAAACGGCGATTGTTGATCGGCGTTGAAACACCAAACAGAGGGACAGAGATCAACGCCCGACGGCTTCCTTGCCTGGGAACGAGAAGTTCCTTGAGTGAGGCAGAGGACGGTGGAAACAGAGTGATCCGCCATGTTTGTTGGTGAAGAAGAAAGGCTATATATATGTATATCCACTGCAGTGCTGCACTCTGTTCGTTAATGGCGGAGAATTGAAGCGCCGCAAAAACAATGAACGGAAAGTGCAGAAGATGAGTGAGGGCGGAGGCGCCTACTTATAGCGGCACAACGGAGCCCTAATTCCGGTGGGATTAAGGCGGCGTAGGAGAAGTAGCCGTTAATGGAAGCCATGACGCGGCGGTTTTCAAATTCAGAATTTATTACTCCCTAACAAACTTCTTCCGCCAAACACAAATCATAAACTTAACAAACAAAATTAAGGATATTTTTCTTTGCTACGGAGTAATTATCATTTCATTGTGTTTTTTTTTTTTTAAAAGCCTAAACCAAGAAGATTTGTTTTTTTTTTTTTTTGTTTTTGTTTTCGTTATGAGTTGCAAATATTTAGCACTGCAGTTTCCGTATTTGAATGGGTTGAGATTAAGAAAATGCTATGTTTTGTGTTTGTTTTAATTCCTAAATTGTATGTTTTTGTTTCTTATTTTAATTTGGTGAAGTGAACTACTTTGGAATAAGCATTTTGCATGATCTTTAATTTTGTGTATTGTACCATTGATTGATAGATTGATATCATGCTAGCTTGTATATGGCCATTCCATTTTTTGAGGTTTGAGATAGAGATTATGCTTAAATCTTTATTAACTGTTATCTTTTCTGTACACAAATTAAATATCAAGTTTCTCAACTATTTGAACAAGCTAAGCACATTTTCCCTGTTTTCGTTAAGGTAATTAATGTCTTAGCTGGAGTCGACTATTTCATTTAGTATTCATATTTCATCATATCATACGAAGGGATGGGATGGGATGGCCCTTTAATTTTTGGGTGACTTAAACACATTTATGTAAACATATTTACTCATCATTCTAGGAAGATGATTCTAACATGTTCTGAATTAGGTTAGTTTATGAAGAAGTTTGTTCTAACCCCGGCCCACTTCTCTGAAGATCGAAAAGTGGAGTTGCTCAAAAACCTTAACTTGCAGAGGAGAGTTCACCATACACAACTAGCACCTCAGGATTCGAGTCGAAACATATTCTACCCGCGATCAGTTGTTCAGCTCCTAAAGGTGATCAATTAGAGGCATAAATAATTTTCATCCATTATTACATCTATCCCTCATATCTTAGTACTTGTTTTCCTTGCATGGAAGCATAGATGATTCTCTTTTATACAAAGTTACCAAATCTCTCAACTCTCTTGTCTTCATATATCTACAAATCAAAACCTTCAATTCTCTGAGAATATATTATTAATTTTGGGAGGATCTTATTATGCTTTGTTTCAATTTTTCCCTTATGATACTGCGGGCTTTCTTTGTGATTAATTATGTTCTGAGTACTTGACTCAATAACATAATTAATGCAGAAATACATATATGCCGGCCTCGAAGAGATGAACTTCACATATGTTGAATGTTTGCTTTACACTTTCAACAATTTAGCTCAAAAACTTAAAATATATATGGATTATGTATAAGTGTTGAATACTTATTTAGTCTTTGTGGTTGGATAGGCTCCAAATGCCACTAATAGCTTAATTGTGTGGTTACAAAATAGTCACTGCCCAACCATTAGACAGGCTACAACTTACTCAGCAGATCAGGGAGAATGTGTATCATCATATCTTTTCCAAAAAATACTTAATCAACACACTGCTCTCATCTGTTATTCAACCCTCATATTCACCAAATTATTCTTTAATTTGCTGTTTCTATGGTATTGGCAAGGTACATATATATATAGTTGAAATATCAATTTGAACACTGTTGTAGTCTGTTTTCTGAATAGAATGAAAGATTGAAAAAGTGAGATAAACATACCTATTAATGTGAAAGGAAAGAAAATGAATGACTTCAGTGTACCCTTACGGTTGAAAAAGATGATGGTTCGATTTGGACGGCCCGTCAAGCACTAGTGGATATGGTAATGTAATGTCTTAGCTAGAGTTGACTATTTCGTCATAGGAAGGGATATGATGGCCCTTTAATTTTTGGGTGACTCAAACACATTTATATATGTAAACATATTTACTATAACATGTTGTGAAGGAAGGTTAGTTTATGAAGTTTGTTCTAACCTCTCTTCTCTCACAGCTTAGCCTAGCTTCCTGAAGATTGAAAAGTGGACTTGCTCAAAAACCTTAATCAACAGACTGCTCTGTTATTCACCAAATTATTGTTTATTTGCTGTTTCTATATATGGTATTGGCAAGCTAGGTACATATATATATAGTTGAAATATGAATTTGAACTCTGATGTAGTCTGTTTTCTGATTTTGCTTAAAATTATAGTCTTCTCCTCTCATTTACTGCACATTATATTGTGCCTGCCATTGCTCAATGTATTCCTGTGGTGAATCCATATCATGTTTAATCTACCATTCTACTTGTGACTGTAACTCATAGATTGATATCATGCTAGCTTGTATATGGGCATTCCATTTTTGGAGGTTTGAGATAGATCGATTATGCTTAAATCTTTATTAACTCTTATCTTTTCTGTACACAAATGTTTGAACTAATTGAACTTATACACTGCATGCATGCAGAGGGAGGGGTGCATCAAATAGCAAGTTTCTCAACTATTTGAACATTTATTAAACAAATCTCGAATAGTTGAGGGATTACTTCTAAAAATAGAATTATAAAAAATAACAACCACAATTACGAAACAAATGTAATAATAAAATCTATCTAATAATATAATCCGTACAAGTCGAACAATTTCTAACTATATATAAGAAAGAGTAGTTATACTATGGAACCATTTTACTCATATTTTTCACATCCAGTTTTAAGTCTTACCCATTCGTCACTATCATCATCATCGTCATTATCGTCACCACTATCATCGTCACCGCTATAAACGTCGTCATCATTATCACCACTATCATCGTCGACATTGTCACCGTTATCATTGTCGTCATCATCATCGCTATCATCGACATCATCATCGTCGTCATCGTCACTGCTATCATCATTGTCATCATCACCACTATCATCATCATCATCAATGTATTGATTGTTGATCCATTCAAGAGAGAGGTTGGACAAGGTGTAAAGGATAATCATGATAAACTGAAAAGATGTAATGAAACCCATAAATCTAAATAGGATTCTAAAGTTGCCATTTTTGAAGTAATATAAATAATATAAAGTTGATGCTTGTAGGAGAAGACAATACAACCAAATCAGCATATCAAGCTTGGTAAACATGATTAATTATTATATCTAAATAGCTTGTATAATGATGAAAGAAAATTATAGAATGATGAAGAAAATTATAGAATGATGAAGGGTTTATATAGTATTAGCTAGTTATTATGTTTAACAATTTTAGTATGATTGGGAAATTCTAAGTTAATCTCAAACCAGTTAGAATTTTAGTATTTTAGTATAATGATTGATAAGTCAACTTTAATCGAATTAGGATTTTAATATGAT